CAAACCAGAATAGGCCGGGGACAGTCTTTAACTAGTAGTAGTCTTAACTGTAGCGGAACACTCCTCTTTCTCTGCCTCCGGAACTCCCAGGAAGAGAAGAGCCTTGCGTCTCTGTCTAGTCTCCATGTTATCAATAACGCTGTGGCAGTCACTTATTTGTTTGCGAAGAAGACCAAGCACTTTGAAGATGAGTTCCAGAAAGGTTCGGAACTGCTCTGCTACTTTGGCCGCTGTGTCCTTTTCTGGCACTCCACAGTGCAACCGGGCTTCCAGTTCTTTCATCCTTCGATGGAAGCTCTCCTTCAGACTCCTGTGTGCCGATTCGATCTCTAGTAGATTTGACAAAATACAATGAAAGGTGATCACTGGCCGACGGGATAGTGCAGAACTTGTAATATGACATTAAACGCGGTGCCCGCGTAAGTGTTACGTAACTGTACTGTACAATTAATAAATTGTTAATGAAAATTGTAATTTTTTTGTTAAACTTTAAACTTAAAAAACTATAAACTTTAAACTTTGTAAAACTTTAAATTTAAAAAAAGTTACGAGCTAATGTGTTCAAACTTCGATTCCCGGGTCGTACCAAATGTTTGGATGCTCTACAAATGGACCAAATGTTTAAATCATCTATAAATATTTGTTTCGCGGTTTGAGTGCTTTTTATGTATATTTTCTTAATTCTTGCACTAAAATCTAGGTACTTCTAAAGCCCTCTACCAGTCACCGACGATGCGAAGGAATTTGTTGACGCTTGTATGTAAATATTTTAATTTTATTACATTACTTCTCCATTTTAAAACTAACACCAAGTTTCCATAAGCAAACTCAGACTCAAACTCTCTTTATTTCATAAAATTTTCAAAATTGTCTGAAATCGTCTTTTATGCAGACTAAAGTCATAGATCAACACATACAATAGCAACAATCTCTGTTTTGCCAAATAGTAAGCAAATAAATTTAATAAAAAATCAACTTATACATAATCTATGATATGCCTATACCGATCTACAACCGCCCGTTTCCAAGGGGTTAAGCCTTATGAGAAGAAAGGGCAAACAAACTTATGGCCACTCTTTTGCAATTCAGATATATACAATGCCATCATTAAATATACCACAAAATTGTTTTGATGTGTGCCAGTATGTCCGATATTAAGTACTAAAAGGTAAAAGACAATGAAGAGAAAACAAGATAAAGAAAAAAAAACGAATAAAAAAGAAAATGAAGTGAAACATAAAAAATTGAAAAAAAAGACGTGTGGCACTCGGGGACTGCTGCGGTAAAGCTATTGCATAGCATTTTTTATCATCTTAGTATTAATAAACTTAGTATTAAATAATTATCTCAGGAAAACCCTATAGAAATTTGCCCGACCGGGAATCGAACCCAGTAAGGCAGCGTTTTCAAATTCCACGCTAACGAAGTCGCGGGTACCAGCTAGTATTAAATAATTATCTTATGAAAACCCTATAGAATTTTGCTCGGCTCCGGAATCGAACCCACTAAGGCAGTGTTTTCAAATTCCACACGAACAAAGTCGCGGGTACCAGCTAAAAAAATCTGTAGAAGCCAGATTGTTCGTCTCTTTTTCCCGGTTCAGACGAACCCAAACATGGGGTGTCCAAGTGCTCCAAGAACCGAGAAAATCAAGTTGAAAAGTTGAAGGGTGAGGGGGAGGTATTTTGTGCGGACCTCAATGCAATCATAAAAAAATAAGTCATCCCTCAATTAAACCCCCCTCCCTCGCCCCTCTAGAAAAACAGACTGAAGTGTTGTTACATGTTACGATACTTTCAAAAAAAAATCTGTAGGGGCCAGATTGTTCGTCTCCTTTTCCCGGTTCAGACAAACCCAAACATGGGAGACCAAGTGCTCCAGGTACCGAGAAAACCAAAGGGGGATAAATGAAAAAAGTGGAGGGGAGAGAAGGGGAGGTATTTTGAAGGGACCTCAATGCAATCATAAATTTTTTGGTATGGGGGATATTGTATGTGGATGTTATTACATTAATAAAAATAAACTGGTCTCCCCCTTTGTCATGTCAAAGGAACACCCTACCTTAAATAAAACAATCGCCCCTAAAAATACATCCCCACAACTTTAGAAAAAAAAAATCGCTCAAAGCCCGCGATAAAAGCTATGCAATAGCTTAAAAAATTAATAAAAAACACTAGCCAACATCACATTTTAACTTAAGAAATAGCCTGCGCTAATTAATCCCAATTTCTTCCATGTAATTCAAAATCGAATAATAGGCCTTACCACACAATCCACGCTTCATTGCGGATTTAAATTCGTTTATACTTAAGTCTTGAATATTATTTGGGATTTTATTATAAAATCGGACACATTGACCTTGAAAAGACTTGTTTATCTTTTGGAAGCCTAGTGGCGGGTACTACAAGTTTATTTCTATTTCTGATATTTATCGAATGTACCAAACCACTTCTTTTCAAAAAGCTACATTTGTTTGTATGAACATAAATTACATTTTCATAAATATATTGACTTGCCACTGTCATTAAGTTTATTTCTTGAAATTTCTGCCTCAAGGAACAACGATTGCCTAAACTATAAAGTGCGAATCGCTCTCTTTTGCAGTACAATAATAGTTTGAATGTCGGCAGTATTCCCCCATAGTAGAATATGTACGACATTATGCTATAAAAATAACTGAAGTAAACAAGTCGTGCTGTATTAACATCAGTCAACTCTCGAATTTTCTCGAGTTACTGCATATGCTGCTGAGCTGAGTCTACTCGATAGTTTATCAATATGTGGGCCCCACTGTAGCTTACAATCTAGTGTTATACCTAAAAATGTCGTCGTGTCCACAAGGTCCAACCCGACACCCTTAATCATTACAGTAGTTTTCACTGGCTTGACGTTTGGCATTGTGAAACGTATACACTTAGTTTTTTGTTTATTTAAAGGTAAATTGTTGACGTCAAACCAATGAACTTTCGAAATGGCGTTGTTTACTGCGAAATTGGTAAGTGTTCGTTTTAGTCTAAATAATAGTGATGTATCATCTGCAAACAACACAATCTCGAGATTGTCCTTGACAAGGTGAGGTAAATCGTTAATATATACTAAAACCAAAAAAGGGCCGCGAATAGAACCCTGCGGAACGCCCATTTCTACCACAGAGCCTGGAGACCGCTCACCATTAATAATTAACACCATTAATATCAAGTTTTTGAATCCTATTACATGGATATGAGGCAAGAAGTGCCAGGGCTTTATTTTTGATACCATAGTGCTGTAATTTCCTCATCAGCGTTTCATGAACAACACAATCAAAAGCCTTAGATAAATCGCAAAAGATACCTAAAGAATCGTGGGCATCCTCCCAGGCATCAAATATAAGTTTTACTAGCTCAACACTGGCATCAGTTGTGGAGCGACCCCTTGTAAAACCAAATTGTCTATTGTGTAATAAATTATTATTATTAAAAAAACTTTGCAATTGATAATACATATTTTTTTTTTAAATTTTGCTAAATACTGGTAGTACTGAGATAGGTCTAAAGTTAGTTGGGTCAGATGTACTACCAGATTTGAATAAGGGAATAATTTTACTAGACTTCATAAGATCAGGAAATACACCAGTATCAACACATTGATTAAATGTAAATGACAATTGATTAGCCACAAAAGATATAATTGTCTTAGTAATTAAAACAGAATTTCCCCATAGGTCGGTTGTTTTTTTTAACATTAATAGTGTTAAAGGCTTTAATAATTTCAAAGTGGGACACATATTAGAACTTAAATTCATTATCAATTCTTCTAACATTCTCTTTTAAAATTGATTCTGCAAGGCATGGTGAGGAGTTAAAAGATTTAGTAGTTGATACAGGAATGTTAGTAAAAAAATTCTCTAATGCAGCAGCAACCTCAGCATTTGATGTGATAAATTTATTGTTTATGTTTAAATTAAATTCATTATAACGGTATTGATCTTTGCCAGTTTCACTATTAATAATTTTCCAAGTGGTTTTAATCTTATCATTGTTACTTTTAATCTTTGAACTTATAAAACGAGCCTTAGCCAATTTACAAAGTTTCCTAAACAGCTTCGAATATTATCTAACATGATTATGAAACTGTTCACTTTTATTATAATTTCTCTCATCGTATAGCTCGTATAATCTTTGCTTACTTTTGAGCCAGGGGTAGCCCAATCACTAAATGTTGCGTTACCTTTAATCACCAGCGTTTTTGATGTAGAAATGGTGTTGTGTTGAAGAAAAAGTTTAAAAAAAACTATTATACACTCGGGTGCAATGAAATCGCACATGTGACTTTATTTTGCATTTTTTTTTATATGGAAATTCTATTATTTTTTAATACCGAATTAAAGCTTGTTTCGATACCTATTCAATGATATATATAAGTCGTTATAAGTTTACCCTACTGCCAAAAAAAAAACAACAACAACAACAAATTCAACTTTATTAAAAGGTGTTTGTTAACAAAACGGTCTGGAAATTAATGATTATTTAAAAAAAATAACAAATTTTACTAAAAATATCTTTATTAATAAGAAGTGTTACCCCCTCTGGTCCGAATTAGCTAACCTAACCTAAAAGTTAGGTTTTCCATCGACTCTAACAATTGCTTGACAGAGTCTTGTGGGATAGCATCCAATTCCTCCTTGAGCGCAGTTTGTAGCTCCTGGAGATTGGCTGGAGCAATATTTCGGCCTCTTATTTTTCTTTTTAAGCCGTCCCACAATTGCTGGATCGAATTAAGGTCCGGACTCCGAGCTGGCCACTCTATTACGCGAATACCCACCTCTTGAAGGTACTGACGTACAACAACAGCGGTATAGGGTATTAACGAAACCGCAAAATGGTACGACATGTTCCTGGAGAGCTTCTTCTATGTATCCCCGAGCAGTTAGTCCTCTTGTGTGCAAATCGAAGACGGGCCTGGCGGTGAGCTGGCGTCAATTTAGGGCCGTTCGCTGGCCTATGCGCCACTAGCCACCTTCAGGCCACCTTCAGCAAGTCTTCTTCTGGCCGTCCACCGGCTGACTTCCACTTCACGCACCTATTGGAGATGATGTGCAAAATCAAGGGCAGTAGCACGACGATTTCGTAAAGCCGCCGTAACGAAAAATCGGTTGTCGCCTGAGATGTAGCTCTGGCTCGACCAGATCCTCGTCGTCGTTCATAGCCACCAGTCTCCTGATAGCGCTGGTCCACACGACGAACTGAATATTGGCTGATATTCACCTGTCGAGCTACAGCACTCTGCTTTTGGCACACTTCTATTAGAGCAACGACTTGAGCGGCCTTTTCCGGAGTAGTATCCATTTTCTTATAATAAATTCAGCTGTATTAGTGAATACGAAACATGAAATATGTATGAATATATGAAATAAGTAATATGAAACGCTCAAACTGAAAGGATTTTTTGCAGTAGGATAAACTTATAACGGCTTATTTTGGTATCATTGAATAAGTTTTGAAACAAGCTTTAGTTCTATATTAAAAAATATTAGAATTTCCTTATTAAAAAAAATAATAATTATTATTTTGCAAAATAAGTCACATGTGCGATTTCATTACACCCGAGTGTAATAAGTGTATTCACTACACAGAGTACTGAACTATTAAAAACAGCTTTAAGTTTATCCTTAAAGTTTTCACAATTCTTTTCGGTTTTAGGTATCACCACAATTCTTTTTTCTGCCACCTTTTCATACCTATCACAGAAAGACACTAATTGACCACAGTGGTCAGAATCTAATTGATTGATAATTTTCTTGTCCTTAATTACGATGTCTGTAAATATATTCAATAGATTAATATTGAAGTCACCACAGATGATGACCTTCTTTTTTCATCTTGTTACTTTAACTAATACTTCATCCATAACACGTTCAAAACAATCATACATAGCTGAAGGAGGTCTGTATACGCATACTACTATGAAACACACGGTCGAATGCCTTTTCAAAATCTGCGTAGACCACGTCAACCTGGCCACCATTTTCCATTTCACCTACCACATAATCTGTGAAACAAGCCAAATTTGAAACCGTTGAACGTCTTTGCATGAATCCGTGCTGAGATTCTGGAATGCCAAGACAAACAACTGGGTAAATATTATTAAAAATTATTTTTTCAAAAACCTTGGCTACACAGTTTAAAATGGAGATAGGGCGATAATTATCTATTTGAGATTTGGCACCTTTCTTGTAAATAGGTATGACGTGCGCTTTTTTCCAAAGAGAGGGAAACATACAAGTTCTTAGTGAGTGTTGGAACAGTAGAGCAATAGGGTGCGATAAACTCTCAGCGCACGTTGACCAAAAGACAGGAGGAATTCCGTCGCTACCAGCACCCTTATTTCTATCCAAACGTGAGAGGTGGTTAAATACCGTTTCTTTAGAGACAGTTATGTTAGAAATAGTGTCGCAGGCCTGGTAATTGAACAGTGGAGAATGAGTGTCAGATTGCGACGAGGACCGGCCCCTAGAAAAGACGCTGTCAAAAAAGTCATACCTCTAAGTCCTGGTAGTCTCTATTGTCTTATCAGTAAATTAAAATTATTTGAAATGTCAATCTCATTATTATGTAACTTATTAGATATGTCATTTAAATTTAAATAAATGTCTAAAGAAATATCTGCCAACTTGCTTCAGACCATACAAAGCTTTTTTAAGTTTAACAATTTTATTTCCATCAAATCCTTCTGGTAAACTTAAAAATATTTCCTCATCTAAATTACCATACAAAAATGCTGTCTTAATATCAAATTGCATCATTTTATAACTTTTATTTGCAGCAATACCAAAAATCAATCTTAAAGCTGCATTGCTTACTACCGGACTATATGTATCATTATAATCTACCCCTTTTTCCTGTTCAAACCCTCTAGCAACAAGTCTAGCTTTATACTTCCCATTATCTTTGACTGCCAAAACATAGATATAAAGAGATCCAATGATGAAATTGAAAAATCTTTAGTGTTTCTTAACTGCCAGTATGAAGACATTAAGGAAAAGGTGGAAAACCTTGTAACTGAACGTAAACAATACTTGCTTCAAATATCATCTTTAGAAACAAAGGTGGAAGACTTGGAAAGGAATTTAAAGCTGTCATCAATTTAAATGAGAAATGTACCAATAGCAGACAAGCCGGAATCCAAGTCTGCTCTGGGCAGAATAGTTCAAGATACGTGCAAAATTCTCCAAGTAGATATTAAACCAAACGATATCCGAGATGTATATCGCTTGAATAGTAAAGCAGGCGAGAGCACAATTATTGCAGAGTTTACAACCGTCATTACGAAAAATGTTGTTATAGATGCAGCCAAGAAATACAATAAGCAACATACTAGCCAGCGACTTACATCGGCCACTATTGGACTACAAGGACCAGAAACTCCCATCTATGTATCTGAAGCCCTGACAAGTAAAGGCCGCAGGTTATTTTTCTTGGCAAGAGATTTAGCTAAGACACACGGATACAAGTTCTGCTGGTCAACCCGAGGCAAAATATTCTTACGCAAAACGGCTGAATTACCCCACATCGAGGTCTAGTCTGAAGCGCAGCTGACAGCTTTAAGAAATCAGAAATGACTAGGTATACAATCTTACAGTTCCTATGGCTTTCTTAAACATAATTACCTTGGTTTTTTTGTTGAAGGTGTTTTGTATGAATGTCTGTTGTTTACACGCCATCTCTTTACATCGATGCAAGTATTTGTTTATTTCATATATTGTCACGAAAATATTTTAATTTCAAAGTATTTGGATAATGCCGCTAATTTGGAGTGTCTTAAATTGTTTGTGCCCCTAATTAAAAGAAAACACTTACATAGGTCCAGGATAAAATTAAATTCAAATTCGATAGATTTAATAATAATATGTTAATTAGCAACATTGATAATATCAAAGCTGGCTCTTCGTTTCAATGCCAACCAGAATTTTGCAGCCCACATTTGTCCACACTAGAGTCAACGCTGGGATGAATCATCCAAGGGGCGCCATCTTTACCAATTCTTTCCATCTGTTCGCGAACGGTTGTCGAGGACATGGCTTGAGGTGGATCACTGTGTCGCTCAATTTCTTACGGGTCATGGTAACTTTAAGAGCAAGCTTTATTCATTTAAATTAGTCGAGTCACCATTGTGTCAATGCTCAACACCTAACTCTCACTATGAACAGTCTGCTCATCATATCCTCTGGGAATGTAGTCTTTGGTATAATGAACGTAATATAATGCTGAATACCTTGCAGGTGACATCTGGGGCGGTATACTATGGGGATCTTGTGTCAACCAGGGTGAATTTCCGTGCGTTTAGGCGATTCTGCCATACATATTATAGAAATCAAATATAGCTCACGTAGGACCCGTAATATTTTGTGGCCGTGGTGCTTCCCTGTTTAAAAGGGTGTATGCCCATTTTACTTCATTTTGTCTCCCGCTTTGCTAAGGAGGGAAGTGGATTTACTGTATTTCCAACTCCTCCAATTTTCTTCTGATTAATTTCGTTGCGGGTTCCAAGACAGTTTAATTTCTGCCTGGGACTTCCCGAGTGTCATAACTCGGTGTGTTCGTGGGTCACTGCTGTGGATCCTGGTGTACAGGAGTTACAGTGGTGGGCGTGTGGGTGGGATTAGTCCTGGTCTATAGATCACCATCTCATAAGAATATCAATGAATTTTTGATATCATTTGACAAATTACTCGTATTAGCTTCATTAAAAAAAATTGACAACATTATCTTAATGGGTGACTTAAATATAGATGTAAAACCAAATAGTGAAACTACTAAAACATAAACATAAATACTTAAACATGTTGGTAAGTCATGGTCTACTACCGGGACATGAAATTCCAACTCGTGAAGATAACTGTATAGATCATGCTATGATTAAGACAAACTTCTCAACTATTACAAACTTCTCAACTATTACCATGGTTTTGTCAACTCCGTTAACGGATCACAGTGCTGTGCTTACTTATGTAAAATTAAATCATTCAACTAATGCCCCATCATATTCAAATAAAATAAGAAAAATTAACTATGATGCTGTTGTTGAGGAACTTAAGACTATAAATTTTGACTGTATTACGAACTCTCACCATCCGAACTGGTCGGCTGAACAATTATTATCCATTATGAACAAATCTATTCAAAGTAATACTTTTATAGTTATTACACCCAGGCAGTCACGATGTATTAAACCATGGATTACTCCAGGACTTGTCCGCTGTATAAGAAATCGTGATCGTATGCATATTAAATGTAAAAAAGAGCCTACAAATGAAATAATAAAAATTACATATGGTAGATACAAGAATTTTTGCAATGACTTGTTAAAACGATTAAAGAGAAATTATGACAGAAACGAATTAGGAAAATATGCTAAAGACCCGAAAATGAAATGGAAGATAATTGATTCTATAACAAACCGAAAAAATAAAAACAAATCAACTGATGATCTCCTTAAAATAGCCAACACACCTGAGGTAGCAGTGGAAAAAGTAAATGACTACTTTTCTAACATTGGAACCGCTCTGGCAAACGAAATAATATCTAAAAGAGTTAAAAACAATTTATTCAGGGTTGAATCACAATATTCACCAGTTAATTAATTGGTACTATTAGAACGCAACGGAACTAGAAATTGAGTCTATAATTAGGAACTTAAAGAGTGAGAGCGCCATAGCCATTTTTAACAATTTAGTGGGCATACCCACTAAATTGTTAAAAATGGCTAAAACTATAATTACACCTATTATGACCCATATTGTTAATTTTGGATAACAACTGGTGTTTTTCCTCAAGTTTTTAAAACATCCATCATCCATCCTGTTTACAAGGCGGGGGCCAGAGATTGTGTCAACAACTATCGACCGATCTCGGTACTGTCTGCTTTGTCAAAAATTATAGAAAAAGTCTTCAAAGGTTAGTGTCGCAGCGCCAATCACTCGCTTAAGGTGAAATTTTGTGGATTTCACTCCTGCTTCCCAAAGTCCGCCAAAGTTGGGACTGTGAGGAGTAATTAAATGCCATTCAGTGCCCTGCATTTCTAAATTTTCGGCAACTTCTCTCTGTATACTGGACAATTGCTTTAGTTCTCTAGACGCGCCTACGAATGTAGTACCGTTGTCACTCCAAATTTTGGCACAGTGACCTCGCCGAGCGACAAAGCGTCGGAATGCCGCCAAAAATGCTTGTGTGCTCATATCACTTACCACGTCTAAGTGTAGAGCGCGAGTAGCCATACATACAACCACATCCTTTCGTAGTCCTAATGTTAATGGATCCAGCATAATCAACGCCGCTATTCGAAAATA